AAACGGATACCAGGCTAAAATATGATACAGGTATCACATACTTTCCACCATTATGAATGACTTATCTTATCTTATAATATAATATTAGTCCAATGTCCTACTTAAACCATCTTCTTATATGACGGAGATCACTCAGGCCAACTTTCAGTTGTGCCAGGTTGTAAGGAGTTACTTGTCATACATTATAAGTTGAAGAATTTGCCCTTGCTAGCAAGCACTCATTTCTTTAAAAACGTTCACGAGTACACACAAAATCCTAACAGTCCGTCAATGCATCTAAATGCACAGTCACATGCTGCTGTGACGGTAATGACATGATGTCCTGCAAGTCGTGTGGAAGGAGTTTCAGTGACATGCAGTGTGTAATTAGCCTCATGATTTCAATATCTCCTTACCTCTGTTAGCAGCCACGGATGGTCCTGAGTGAGGCGGTCCCAGTCGGTCTCAGCGGTGACGCTGGCGTAGCGGAAGCGGTTCTGCACGGCCGCTGAGGTGCAGACATGCTTATACAAGAACTCTTTTCCTGTCTGCTCTGAGATGGCTTTCGCCGACATGGCAGCGCTGGATCGCACAAGACCTTTAGGAAAGGGAGGCCAGCCGTTAATTTAATGGCTGCAGCAACATCATGTGGCTAAAACAAACAAGGCAAACTAGAGACTACAGGTCAAGTCAATTCCGATTTTTTTGACATTCATTGGAGTTACATGCCTGTCGAAAGTCACACGATAATGCTTTGAAAAGTCAGATTTACTAGCCTTAATCTATGGGGCAAGCTGAGTGGCCTTGTTGCCAGAAACACTTCTGTATTTGAGATTTTCACAGTGACACATCCTTTGCTACAATCTGTGCTCTAACTGAGATAAAACTGTAAAAGTATTCCTTATCTGCTGTATGGATCGAATGCTCGACTGGCAATGAAGATGAAAACAGACCTAGAGGTAGTTATGATCCAAAATAAACAGATTATTCTGTGCACCAGTACTTAGAAATGTTAAAAATGAGCTCGTCTTAAAAACGTCATGAATTTGTCTCCCTGGGCACAATAAGGAATCCCACACATACCAACTCATAGTTCCTCTCTGCTTATTTTGTTAGTGCTGTGCATAAATGTCGTTATTCATCTGAGAGAATGATATCTCTGTTTAGGCTAACACAGCAAGCCACTGGAATAAGCACAGATCAAACAGTAAGAATGCAGATTTTTAAGGTTCTTGTACATGACTGATGACAGCTGAATTACTCTTTGTTCCAAACTTAGAAACCTGGGATCCACACTGAAAATAAATCCTTTTGTACCTTCTCAATTGAGCTGGCGTCAAACTGTCGTACTCATTCTAAAAGGTAACACAATGATTCTTATTTTCAGATGATCATACACTAAATAAAAACATAGCCATGGATATTATGTTCCATTTCTGCCAGTAGATCCTCCTAAATGTAACACACAGGGCCTTTAAATAGTGCATACACAGTTAGATGTAGTCCCCGTCCTTTAATCAACAAACCAGCCTTTATCTAACATGTGGGTGGATATAAGCGACGTTAGTGTCGAGAGCAAAGACGCAGCTAGAGCTAAAATGATTCTCCAATTAAGGGAAAATTCATCTGCAAATATTGGTTCTTTGTTTCAGTAATTTTCCAAACAAAAATAACCATAATTTTCTGGTTGCAGCTTCTCAAATGTGTTGTTTTTTCTGTTAATATCAACCTATTTTAAGCATCTCTGGGTTTTGAACCGCACAATTTTAATGGGCATCTATAGTTTAAAAGGCCATCAAAATGTTTGGAAATTGCACAACCGTATGTTGATCTGAGGAAAGAGATGAGATGAGATCAGGTTGCACGGATGGTCTTGACATTCCTGTTTCAAAACATCCCCGCATGTTGTCAGACCTGCTCAGCAAACTCACTGCTGTCGACGCCGCTTCACACACCCGTGCATTTTACTGGTCATGTTCCCTTTGACTGTATGCCTACAGTTTACAGCTTTAATTTTTAAAAAAGGAGACAACTCTGAAGGAGCTGGTGTACCTAACAGCCCAAACTGGTCCATAAAGAACATTTACTACCACAAACCAAACAGTGATACACAGCGAGCATTGATAACATGCATCTTATCTCATCTGATAACGGTTTATGGTGGGTTTATTTCAACTTCTGCATTCTTCACATAAAGTCAGTCTGCAAGGTTGTCTGTGATATCTAACCTGGGGGAGTCTGGCTAGGATTTAGTTTAGCAGACTATCCTGTCATGCTTTCAGGGGGGCAGATGTCCCAGTATTTAGCCTGCCATAATCCACGGGGTCCAGTCCATTGTTTGAAGCCACCAAGCCGTGAAATATGTGCCACTGTACAGACTCCTGAGATACTGGAGCAGCAGCACAGGGGCCAGTAAGTGGGCACACTGCTTCAAACGCAGCTGCTGTTTGATGAGCTTGGCGGTGCTGTAGCATCACTTCCCCCTCCCCAATGCTACATCATGTGCGTCAGGCTAAACACAAGTGAATGAAGCTCCTGTACCAGCTACCACACCCACTCTCCACACACACACACACACACACACTGTATCTTAGAGCTAGGTAGCCAAGCAAGTTGTATAACTTCAGCTTGGCTCGCAGTGTGTGTAAATAAAGAACAACTTCAGGAGAGGAGGCGGATGTAAGTAGAGACAGGAGAGAAACTAACAAGCTTGCCAAGTCAGGGAGATTGGTTAAGTTAGCATGTGTTGATATAATATGAGCACTGCTGCACTGCTGCACTGCT